ATCTATCATCTATCATCTATCATCTATCATCTATCATCTATCATCTATCTATCTACCTACCTACCTACCTACCTACCTACCTACCTACCTACCTACCTATCTTGGTACTCCAGGGGACTCAGCTAGGAGCCGATGTGGTGACAGGTGTCACCGATCCGCATTGCTGACTGAGCCCAGGGCCTGAAGCAGTGTCTTGGAAACAGAGGAAGCCAGCCAGAGCTCACTCTTTGCTGCTGCGCCACGTCACCTCAAAGGCACAGTGAAGTGGTCTTCTAGGTCTCATTTGGCCTTGCCCAGTCTGGTAGGTAAGTATCCTTTCTGAATGCAAGGTTAGATAAAGTGCAGAAATGCTTTCCATTTGCCACACCCCCTGCTAGGCAGCAGCAGCAGCACTGCTGTGTCAAGTGCACAGGGTACTGGAATCCCTTGTTTTCTTCAGGGTGCGGGGAAGGCAGCCCCAGGCCTTATCCATGCTAGTCCAATGCTCTACCCAGCTACACCTTGGGCCTTAGGAATCTTTCTCTGTTTTGTCTTGTTTGGGTTGTTTGTTGTTTCCAGACAGGGTTTCTCTGTGCCACAGCCCTGGATGTCCTGGAACTCCCTCTGTAGACCAGGTTGGTCCTGAACTCACAGAGATCTGCCTGCCTCTGCCTCCTGAGTGCTGGGATTAAAGGCGTGCATGCACCACCACCACCTGGCTGGGCTTTAGGATTCTTAAAGAAAATATTTGGGGGGCTGGAGAGATGGCTCAGTGGTTAAAAGCATGGGCTGCTCTCCAGAGGACCTGCATTCAATTCCCAGCACCCACATGGCAGTTCACAACCGTCTATAACTCCAGTTTCAGGGGTCTGACACCCTCACACAGACATATTTAGGCAAACATCAATGCAGATAAAATAATAAATTTTGAAAAAAAATATATTTGAAAGCATCTGCTCTTCAGTGGAAAGTTAAGAGAAAAAATAAACAAGGCTGTAGCAGAAAAGCCTATAAAAAGACAAACATTCAAAGACAGGGATCACTTTAAAAATGCACAGCCTTCATTTATATTAGGGTTTGGATGTTCTGGGTCTAAAAGGGGGGGGGATGTGTAGAATAAAGCCTTAAGCAATCCTATTACATTCACCACAAAGGTCAAACATTAAACTTAAGCATATTTAAAAAAAAAATTTTAAAAGATCTTTGAAAAAAGAGAAAAACTTACAATGCCATGTTGTTGCAGGGTCCCTGTGTGGGGTAAAACAACATTCTGGGGTCTGTAACTCAGGGAGTGAGGCCTTGCGTAGCACCCACAAGGGCCTGGGTTTAACCCCCCACCATCACAGATGCTCACACACACTCACACAAGGTATTACCACTCCAGAACATCCAGTAAATGACAGCTCAGTATATACAAGAGCACGTGTGGAGACCAAAAACTGCTTCTGAGAGGCATGATATTGAAGCAATATTATTATTTTTAGAGGGGAAACTGTTTTGGGTTTTTTTTTTTTTGCAATTTTTATTCTTTGAAAGCTTCATGCATGTATGCAATGTATTTTCATCACAGCCACCTCCTAGCAAGGGCTTTTTTTTTTTTTTCTGTGCAAATAAGCTTGCTGTGCTGGTCTCCAGAAGTCTTTCCACTGTGATCCCAGGATGCAGGGCCCTTGCCTACAATCCTCAGAATAAGGGGATTATTTCCAAATGCTACTTGTTAACCCTTTCTCTCCAGGGCTGAAAAAAAAAACCGAGGCAATGTGGAAAACACACATTTTTAAGGATGAGCAAGCATTTGGAAGGGGACATGGACTTCTATTTGTCCATGGAAACTGTTGATCTCTAAAACAAACATGAAATACTGGTGGGCCTTCAGATTCTTTCTCCATGCATGCAGGTCTCGCTACTAGGGTGTCTGAGGCTTATAAAATCTACACAGTCTCGTACTCCTCTCCCAAGTGGGTAAGGAGGCTGTATTTTACTTACAGTGATACCCAGGCTGGACACAGCACAAGATAGGGAGTTTGGGCCATATTAACTTTTGTTGTTCTGGAAACAGATCTTAAGTGGTCCAATCTGCCTTGAAGTCATGATTTTTCAGCCTGACCTGTCTCTCGAGTGCTTGGATTATAGGTATGTATCACCACACCCTACCAACCTTTGCATTTGAGGGGGGAAACCCCCCCAAACCTAACAAAACAAGTCTCAGTATTTTCTTTTTTCATCCTGTAACTGGCAAAGGTTTTCTCCTCCAGTAACTAATAATTTAACAGACTTACTTGTTCTTGGTCTGTGGAAAACAAATCTTGGTGTGTAAAGGAGATGGCAGCTTCAGAAACACAAAGAAAAAACAAATTTAAAAGCTCAGCCAGCCAGGTTGAGCTGGGAAGCCTGCCCCTCCCCCTCTTTGAAATTTCCAGACAAAGGGTGCTTGCTGTTGTATGGTAGAGGAGGCAGAGATTCCCTCGAAGGATTGCAGGGGGCTGACACACACGTGGTTGACGCCATCACTCGGGGTCAGGCCTGCCAAATCTGGCCAAGAGGAACTTCGTATTTGTCAATAAGATGGCATTAACTGGCTCTTTGCCAGCTCCAAAGCCACCACAAGACCAGCAGTCTGCAGCGACCGGGAGGGCTCTGTGCAGGGACCTCAGGCATAAGAATGACAAAAGTCAAGATTTAGGGTTCAGTTCCAGCTGATTTTATTTCCTTCTCAAAAAAAGTTATTTACAGAAGGTATATAGCAACAACCTGACAGGCAGTGATGGACAGAATTAGCTGGCATGATTTTTTCTTTTTTTTTTCTCTTTCCCAAACATTGCTTTTTTTTTTTTGTGGCCTTGAATTTTAAGACAAATATTCTACACGGCATATTGCACAGGATGGATGGCAAAAAAAAAAAAAAAGGAAAAAAGTTTAAAAACAAAAACCCTTAACGGAACTGCCTCTTAAAAGGCAGGTGTCCCCGTGCCTGTCATGTTATATTAAACATACATACACACAATCTTTTTGCTTATTATAATACAGACTTAAATGTACAAAGATGTTTTCCACTTTTTTTTCAATCTTTAAACACAACAGCTATAAACCTGAACACATATGCTATCACCATGCCATAAGACTAAAACAATTATATTTAGCGACAAGTAGAAAGGATTAAATAGTCAAATACAAGAATGAAAACGCAGTACATAGTGTCGCGAACTCAAATCGGCATTTAGATAGATCCAGTGGTTTAAACGGCACGTTTTTGCTTATAAAAAAAGTGCAAAAAAGATGTGGTTTACAAGTTAAAGCTACAGAATCCCTTTTTGCTGTGAATGCCCCAGTTTTAAATCCTCTGGACAGAACAGCAATTCGTTTTGTTTTGTTTTGTTTTTTAAATCTGTTTTTCTTAAAGCATTATGGTGCTGGGCTGAACTCTCCTCCCCATCCTGAAAGACCTGGGGGGGGGGAGGGGTGGAAGGTGGAAACTGGTGGCAGGTAAAGGGATACTGTCACTTTAAGAAGCCTGCAGATTGAAGTGTAAACATGGAGAAACCAGGGGCTGATTTTTCAAACTGTGTGAGATATTAACCAGCCACCCTATTATAAAATCAGGAAATCCAAACAGCGATTTACACCGATTAACACCCCCTTTATATATTTTTTACAAAAATACACTGAGAAAATAATCAAACGTTTTCATCTCTCTTGTCTTTTTTGTTTTTTAAAAGTGTCAAAAGTCTACATTTAAATATAAAAAATTAAAAGTTAAAACTCTAGCCCTTCAGTGAAGGAGACGTAAAATGGCGTGGGTAACAACACTAGAAAAAAAAAAAGAAAAAGAAAGAAAATAAACAGAAGATAAAAAATAAAGAAATGAGGTCAAAAGACAAGAAAGCAAAAGAAAGGGGAAAAAAGGGACAAAATAAGAAAACTGTTTGGCCAGTATAAATACGTCCACATATAAAATGGCATCTGATTACATTTACAAGGAAAAAAATACAAAGATGGAGCGTCCGTGAGGGGGTAAAAATAAACGGGTTTTCTCAATTACACCTATAAGGAATAAAACACACACGGAGAAAAAATTTGGTCCTGAATTGTGTTTTTTCAAAAGTCCAGCACAGATTTGAGTTGCGTTTGAATCCTTTTAAAGAGTTAAGAATGAAAAGGAGCTGGTGATCGGTTCGTTGTAGGAATCAAACATAGCGCCATCTATCCGCTTTTTATATTATCCTACACTATTTTAAAAACTGCTCAACAGTCTTATACAGAAATCTTCAAAAGATAGACAGGATAACATGCTATATTAACCCCACCAGTGAAATAACTCAACACCATCACGATTCCCATTAAGAGAAGAAAAAAATTTCTTTTCCCCCCCGAAACCACTCCGCGGCCTCTGGACCACATCCCACAGTCTCCTAACCTCCCGCCGGCTCTGGGTAGCCTCACCTCTCTGGTATATATATATATTTTTAATTCTTTATTTTTGCACAGACCCCAGGCGGAGGTCCTGAGACCCCCAACGCCCTCTGCGCTCCGGATTCTTCTGAGTCCCCAACCAGGCGGCTGTGGCTTCCACGAGGTCCCCATGTTCATTTCTGAGGCTGGCCTGCTGCTCCCCGTACATCTCTGGCTACAGGGAGAAGGAAGAAAAAAAAAATCCCAACCCGGGACTTCGCCAGCGTGGAGTCTCTCCATGCCAATGCTCCCCCCAAGCCCAACACAAACGCCATGGCCAGACGTATCACCCCGGAGCCTTCTGTCTTCATTGCAGAAAAAGAAAAATAAAGAAGAAAAAAATACAAAGAAGGGGTGGGAAGGAGAGGGGGCGCGCTGGATCTCCCCCCTCCTCTTTTGACCAAGAGGCAAAATAAAAATTAAGCAAGAAATCACCAAGGTGGTGAAGCGAGAGGGGCAAGATTCCTTCGGTCTCTAGAAGCTTAGCTCGGCTTCTTTTCTTGCTGGGGGTGCAACCAAGTCCGGAAGCTCGTTGGAAGGGGAGGGGGGAGTCTCTTCAAGCAAAAATGGGGAGGAAACTCGAAGTAGCTTTTTAGCCACCACCAACAACATCAATAACAACAATAAAAGGTCGCCCCCGTCTACTCTCCGCCTCCTCCGAGTCCCCAGCCCTGGGAGTGGGGGATGGGAACGCGGGTCCACTACGCCCCCGCGCTCCTTCTCCAACGACGGGACGTTGTCCAGGCCAGCCCTGCTCACTTTTTCTTCCTTTTCTTTTCCCCTTTCTCTTTCCACTCTCCATCTGTTCTTTTTCCTCTTTTTTTCTTTTTCTTTCTTTTAATTTTTTTTGTTTGCTTTGTTTTACTTTTGTTTTCCTTTTTCCTCTCCTGCCTCTGGCCCTCCTTCTCTCCGGCCCGCGCTCCTTTCAGTAGGTGAAGACCAGGTTGGAGATGCTGGACTCTAGCCAATCTCCCGAGATCATCTCGCTCACCTCGGGCGTGCAATAGTCCGGGAACTCGAAGTGGGAGCCTGAGCCGGGTTCGAAGTTAAAATCCAGGTCCCGGTCGAGCGCCGACGAGGAGCTGAAACTGCCCAGGGACATGCTCTCAAAGTTTGAACTGGGGTTCAGGTCAAGCAGGTCGTCTTCGAACTCATCGTCAGACGACGAGGAGCCGGAGGAGGAGGACGACGACGAGGAAAGCGACGAGGACGCGTGCGAGGGCGCGCTGGACGGGGCGGGCGAGGCTGCGCGCAGGCTGGCATAGCCGCGGTGGTCAGCTGGCGAGCGACCGGCTGCGGGCGATGATGCTGCACTGCTGCGGCCGCTCAGGCTCCGGCCATCAGGCGAGCATCCCGGGCCTCCATCCTCGTAAAGCCCCAGCGGGTCGCTTGGGTCGGCGCCTGCTCCCAGGCCCCCAACGGGGGACGCCGAAGCGCCTAGGCTCCCGAACAAGTAGACGCGCTTCACTTTCTTGTCGGCTGCGTGCTTGGCAGGGGTGGCCAGCGCGGTGGTCGGCGAAGTGGAGGCGGCTGGGGTGGCCGCGCTGGGAGTCCGCACCTTGTAGACCGCGGCCGGCTCGCCCAGGGGCAGCAGGGCGGCCTGCTCCGGAGAGAACGATGCAGCCGCCTTACTG